GGCTAATCAGGAATCTCCAGTTGTGCATTTCTCCCCCCTTAATTCCTGTGAACCCCAGAGATGGCTACTTTCTAAGACGAGAGTCATAAGGGACCCCAGGGCTGTCTGATCCTGAGTTGGGCACCCCAGTTCAGCTACGGGTAGCTGACCACGGGCCTAGACTAGCAGACTTGATTGGCTGCTTAGAGCGCATGCTCCGAAAGACCCTCCGGAAGTGCAGTTGTTTAGTTCTTGGGCACGATGATACTGGCTTCTGGGAGCTCCTGGCAAAATGTCCCTGCCCGGGAGGGACCGAGGACTTCAGGTTTTCCATCTCTGGACTGTGCCCACCAGCCTGCTCCCTCTGCTCAGGGAATGCCAGCCAGAAGCCTTTGGCTTTGCCGAGCTGTCTGTCAAACCGGGTCCACATGACCTTTTTCCTGGAACCAGCCAGCCCCAGCCTTGTTGATCTAATCCTGAGCCTCCAAGCCACAGGTCCCTGTCACATCCATCTTCAAGTGTCAGCCCAGGCACTGTCCTCAGGTGCTGGCTCACCCTCCCTCCCTCCCAGTTCCCATGCGACTTACAGTAACCTCTGTCTGGCTAGGGCTAGAGCAATTGAACAGTAATTGGCTTTGCAATTTGTGGATGCCTCGGGCCTGGCTGTGGGTGGGCAGCTCTGCCCAGGGGGCAGGGATATTGTTCAGAAGGCCCTAAGTCAGGAAACAGGGTAGATTGCAGTGCAGGGGTTCCAAAGATGGGGACTAGGGAAGTCACTGAGGTAGCTGTGAGGTTTTTTGTCCCTGGGTTCAATGGCAATGACTTCTGGGAAGAGCCAACCAAGAGTTTGATGCCCTGGGGTGATAACCCAGGTACCTCACTTCCTCAGCATCTACATAGGATATCCTCATCCCTTGGAGGAAGAGCTCCGTATTTCAGGCCTGGAGGCTTAGAGGGACCAATGCACACCAGGAAAGCAGGGATGCAACGTCTGGAATCAGGGCCCTCAGAGACTTGGGGTCGAGCAGGAGAAGGGGGTTCCTCACCCAGTTACTCACTCAAAAAACCCTTAGGGCCATGCAACAGCAGATCGGGCCCTGCAGCTTAGGGTGGGAGGGCCCTTACACGGAGGTGGTTGGGCAGATGCATGGGGTATGGAGGCAGACTCTGGTGGAATGACTTTAGGACCCACAATGAGAGTCCAAGCAGAAAACTCACCCCTGGACTTGGTCAAGAGCTTGGTTATTGAGGGGCACACAGGCTCTGGGGCCAGAAAGGCATGGCTTAGCTGGCAGCTCAGTGCTCCCTGATATGTGCTCCTGAACTTCCAGCTCCCTAGAACTCTGTCTGACGTAGAGTAGAGCTCAGTGGTTGAACAGTTGTGAGCATGCGCAAGGCCTTGGGTGCTATCCCTAACAGCGAACAAGAGGGGATTTAGGGTTAAGGTGATCAAATTTGAGATTTGCAGTCTGAAGGTATAGCTCGCTGATGGAGCACTTGCTTAGCATGCACAAGGCCCTGCGGTTCTCCACCAGCCCTTCAAAAACAAAAACAAAAACAAAACCCAAATCGCAACAGTCCCTGGAACCAGACACTGAGTCCCACAGCCCAGAAGACTGTGCAGACGTGACTGCATCATTAGATGTGTGGGGGTGAGGGGTATGCTGAATACCCAGGTGGCTTCTAAGAGGGAATCAGGAGCCTCAGACAGGCGTGCTTGGGAGGAAGGGGGCCCAGGTTGAGTGATACCGGCGTGGGAAGCGGCCAAGCTGCACACCAAGGCCAGACTGCAGCCTGTGCACCTGTGAGGGGGTCACTTCCCAGGGCCTGTAGTAACCCTGAAGCCCTGCCTATCCCTTGGTCTTTCCCCCTGAGAAATCATTTGGATGTGGGCCCTCAGCACTGGAGAAGACCAGCCTCCATGGCATTAAGCGAATACATTTGCGATAATCTGCTTGAAGGTTGGGCTCTTTCTCTCTCTCTCTCATGCTTCTGGTTAAGATCAAACAACAGTAGCCTTTTCCGTGGGGAGGCTCATGGGAGGACCTGCTGAGACAAGGCAGGTGTACAGAAAAGCAGGGCTGGGATTCGGCAAAGATTGACACCCTTGGGTGCATAACATTACAACATTAGTTCTACCTTTTAAAATTGCAGCAGTCATGGGGGAAGAATTTGCACTGTCAGACAGGCTTATGCTTCACTTGCGGTTTGGTATGGCTTATATTTTTGAGCACATGTTAGCGCTCGGGGGCCCTGGAGAGCTCCAAGTCATTGAATGACTAATATTAATATCTTAGGGTCCACCATTGCTGTGATGAAACACTATGACCAGAAGGGACTTGTGGAGCAAAGGGTTTCTTAGGATCACATCTCCTAAGTCACAGTCCACTGAGGGAAGCCAAGGCAGAGGCTCAAACTGAGCAGGAACCTGGAGGCTGGAGTTGATGGCGGAAGTCATGGAGGAATGCTGTTTCCAGCCCGCTTTCTTATAGAACCCAGAACCACCAGACCACGGGTGTCGCCACCCACAGTGGCCTCGGCCGGTCCCCACGGATCACTAGTTAAGAAAATGCTCTACAGGCCTGTTTACAGCGCCACAGTCCGGAAGCATTTTCTCAACTGAGGTTCCCTCCTCTCAGATGACTACAGCTTGTGTCACGTTGACATAAAACTAGCCAGCACAGTTAGTGAACAATAGTCATTGTGAATGTGTATGGGTGTGGCTACTTTGACGCAGAAAAACAGAAGGCGAAAAAAAACAAGAAGTGGCCTGTTTTTCTGTGGTGGTCTGGGGGTGGGGGTCAGAACAGGTAAGGAATGAGCAGGGGTTAGGGTGATTGTCTAACCATGACCTGAGTTACCAGACAGTTGAGAAAAATCTTAAACAGGAAAGAAAGAAAATCTAA